TCATGAGGTTTGCAGGAAAATGGATGGATCTAGAAAAAATCATCCTGAGTGAGGTAACCCAGACTCAGAAAGACAAACATGGTATGTACTCACTCATAGCAGGATACTAGATGTGGAACAAGGATGACTGGACTGCTACTCACATCACCAGGGAGGCTACCTGGAAAACAGGACCCCAAGAAAGACACGGGGATCACCCAATGACAGAGAAATGGAATGAGAGCTACATGAACAGCCTGGACATGAGTGGGGGTGGTGAGAGGCGAGGGTTGAGGGAAAGAGAGCTTGGGGGAGCGGGAGATCCCAGCTGGATCGGCAACAGAGAGGGAGAACAAGGAATAGGACACCTTTCTTGACTTTAAACTCTACTATAGAGCTATAGTAATAAAAACAGATTGGTATTGGAACAAAAACAGAGATGTTTATCAATGGAATTGAATAAAAGACCCTGATATTAATCCATACACCTATGAACACCTGGTTTTTGAGAAAGAAGCCAAAATTGTACAGTGGACAAAAGAAATCATCTTCAAGAATTGGTGCTGGCATAATTGGATTTTAATATGTAGAAGACTGCAAATAGATCCATATTGTTCACCAGGCACAAAACTCAAGTCCAAATAGATCAAAGACCTCAACATAAATCCAGCTACATTGAACCTGATAGAAGAGTATGTGGGAAGTTGCATTGAATGCATTGGCACAGGAGACTACTTCCTAAATATAACACCAATAGCACAGACACTGAGAGAAACAACCAATAAATGGAACCTAACAAAACTGAGAAGCTTTTGTAAGGCAAAGGATGTTGTAAAGAACACAAAATGAAAACCTACAGAATGGGGAAAAATCTTCACCAACCCCACACTGACAGAGGGATGATCTCCAAAATAAATAAAGAACTCCAGAAACTACAAATCAAATAACCAAATAATCCAGTTAAAACGGGGTACAGATCTAAATAGAGAATTCTCAACAGAAGAATCTCAAATGTTCGAAACACATTTAAGGAATTGTTCAACATCCTTTCTCATCAAATCAAAATGACTCTGAAATAGCTTCTTATGCCTGTCAGAATGGCTAAGATAAAAAACCCTGATGACAGCTTATGTTGGAGAATATGTCGAGTAGGGGGAACACTCCTCCACTGCTAGTGGAAGTGCAAACTCATACAGCCACTCTGGAAATCAGTATGGTGGTTTCTCAGAAAAGTGGGAATCAACCTATCTCAAGATCCAATGAAACCACTCTTGGGTAGACACCCAAAATGTGCTCAGTTGTACCACAAGGACACTTGCTCAACTACATTCATAGCAGCATTATTTGTAATAGCCAGAACATGGAAACAACCTAGATGGCCCTCAACCAAAGAATGGATAAAGAAAATGTGGTATATTTACACAATGGTGTATTATTCAGCAGTAAAAAATAACGACATTATGAAATTCGTAGGTAAATGGATGGAACTAGAAAATAAATCATCCTGAGTGAGGTAACCCAGATCCAGGAAGACAAACACAGTATATACTCACTCACAAGTGGATATTAGATGCAAAGCAAAGGATAACCAGTATACAATCTACAACCCCTGAGAAGCTAGGTAAAAAGGAGGACCCTAAGAAGGACAGGCATAGATTTCTCCAGGAAGGGGAAATAGTTAAGATCTCCTGGGTAAACTGGGAGGGACTAGAGGGGAAGGGAATGGGGGATGGGAACATGAGGGAATAGAATGGTAGAGTAGTGGGAAGGACAGAGAAGGCAAGCAATGAAAGAGATATCTTGATATAAGGAGCCATTACGGGGTTAGGGAGAAACCTGGTGCTAGGGAAATTCCCAGAAATCCACAATGATGACCCCATCTAGGGCTCCTAGCAATACTGGAGAGGGTTGCTGAACTGGGTTATCTCCTATAATCAGATTAGTGACTACCCCAGTTGTCATCAAAGAGCCTTCATCCAGTGACTGATGGAAGCAGATGCAGAGATCCACAGCTAGGTATGGGTTTGAGTACCTGGAGTCCAGTTGAAGAGAGGGAGGAGGGATTGTATGAGTGTGTGTGTGTGTGTGTGTGTGTGTGTGTGTGTGTGTGTGTGTGTGTGTGTGTGTGTGTGATAAAGATCATGACGGGGAAACCCACAGAGACAGCTGACCTGAGCAAATTGGAGCTCATGGACGCTGGATAGACAGCTGGGGAACCTTCAGGGGACTTAACCAAGCCCTCTGAATGTGGGTGACAGTTGCATGGCTTGGTCTGCTTGTGGGGCTCCTGGCAGTGGGACTTGGATTTATCCCTGGTGCATGAACTGCCTTTTTGGAGCTCACTCCCTGTGGTGGGACACCATGCTCAGCCTTGATGCAGGAGAGAGGGGCCAGACCTTGTTGACTCCCCATGGGAGGCCTTACCCTCTCGAATACTGGATGGGGGAGGTGGGGCAGGGAGGGGAGGGAAAGTGAACTCTGGTTGATATGTAAAATGAAAAAAATTAAAATAAAATATTATATAAAAAACGAAATTTGGGGTAGAGTAGGACATTATATTCAAGATTCATACCAGGAAAACTGGCCAAAAATATGACAATCCAAAGAAATGGGCATTACAACAATGATTTAGCATGTAGTTCATCTTTGCTGGGACTTTGTCAAGCAGGTGTGCTGGCTTCATGACTTTTACCATTTCCCTAGGTGATGGTTGTGCCATACTTGTAGAACACAACCTCAACTTTGGATACTTGGTATAGATTACCAATTTTAAAGATGTTGTCCATGATGGACCTGCAAGTTCACATATAGCCCCTTCACAGACATATTTAGGAAATCTTTAAGTATTGTTTTGTAGTGAAGTTACTTTATCCAGAACTCCCAATGTATCATGACATTGGTCCAAAGGGAAGGAAAATGCCAAAGACATATTGGATAAAAATATAAGGGTTTCTGTTGATCTCCTCAGTAGCCAAAAAGAAAAAAAAACATTACCAAAAAATCCCTTGTATTTCCATGTTACTATTCTAAAAAATACTCATGAGCATTATGAAGGATATTCTAAGCATGAAACAATTCAACCAATTGCAGTGAACTTTGTAATATGTATAGTCAAAATTTCTGTGTAAGTGAGATTTGTAAAAACAGGTCACTCTGGTATAAGACTTTCTATCTTTGTGGAAATCCACAAAGAGCTTGTTTTACCTTGCATGCCATCCATGAACTAGATCACAGTCCTAGACACTGTCTGCTCTGTTTTTGTCTTGGAATTCTCATTCTAGAGAAACATTAAGAAACCCATGACTTGAACTATATCTCTAATCCTTGGCACTTTATCCTTTAATAATTTTTATTAATTAAAAATTGTATTCATGTGCAAAAAGTATCTTGATTCTATTTAATATATCAAGAATTGAATGATTTATTATGACATTTTATTGTACTTTCATGTTTATGCTCTTCACCTCTCCTCTTAATGAAGAATCTCATTAAGCATATTATATATATATATATATATATATATATATATATATATATATATATATATGTAAAACTCAGGGTCAAATTTCTAATAACTGAGTACCAAATTATGATTTTTAACTTATAAACTACTCTTTGAAAATGAAACAATGTAAAACAGCCTAAAATATTGAAGACTGAATCAATATGTTCTGAAGACAGAATATGAATTCCCTCTGAAAGCAAGTAAGATATTCAAAATATATTATATATCAGTATGAAATTGTCTAAGAATCAGTTTACTTAAAAAAGATAATGATCCACTCCTGGATGAGAGTACATGTTTAATCAGTGAGAATATGTTTTTACATATCCTAATATGGAAACTCTTTCAAGTTAAACATTAAGAAAATGCTAATTTCATGCAGAGTAAGGAAAAATTATCAGTAATGACATTTCTTTTTTTATGTTTCATAATTTTACTTTCTAATATTGAGAATAAGTATACAAACTTAATATCAGACCAAATAAAAAGGCACACGGAGGCAATGTTTTAGCTATTTTTTTCTCATTTGTCAATAAAAAAGGAGGCAGACACTAGATTTCTATTTCAGTTGTATTTGTTAACTTCTCAGTTTAACTCACATTCTTTTTTTTTGCACCTTTCTTGGAACTCACTTGGTAGCCCAGGCTGGCCTCGAACTCACAGAGATCCGCCTGGCTCTGCCTCCCGAGTGCTGGGATTAAAGGCGTGCTCCACCACCACCTGGCTTTAACTCACATTCTTTTCTGACATTTAACCATATGAATTTGAGGTCACTTTTCTGAAAATGCACTAAAATTACTTATGCTTGCCTGTTAACTTTTTAAAATGCTGATAAAAGAGCACTACAAACATACCACTATTGAGGCAAAATAGGAACAAAGCTCAAAAACACCAGATAAAAGCCAAGTAAGAATAAAAATGCTAATTTTTCAATTTGTTGTTCCCATCTCCACTGTATAGCCCACAATGGCCTGCTGTAATTGCAGGCCTGCATTATCACATCTAGCTTCTCTTCTTTCAAATATTTAAATGCCCTCAGTGTCTGAGTTTAAATTCTTCCAATGTTAAATGGAAGGCTGATATGGATGAAGTTATTGTCACAAGAGTCTAGTACAGAGGTATAAGGCAAGCAAATGGCACCACTGGGTGCTGCCCATGCACACACTCTGTTAGACCAGACTACCCTGACTGGCTAGGCTCAGAGGCTGACCTGGACCTTGTACATCATTCTTTTTTTATTGGGTTCTATTTTGTTCCATATTTTCTTGTTCCATTATTTTGTAATTAGGACAAGGTGAGAGGTTCAGTTAGTCTAAGAATGCTTAGCCACACCTCAAATTGTCTTACTCAAACATTTTTATCCTTCTTAACATATACCTAATTTCCACCTACAGTTATTTTAAAGATATGTAGTAAATCAGCTGAAAAGACAGGTGGGGCATGATGCCAAAGACTGCCACCACCCTTGGACATGGCTCTGGTGAGTGAGTTGCTCAATGGTGGTGGGCAGGACAATCTAGTGAGTCTTCTCCAGGAAGGCCTTGCAGCACCCAAGGCATTGCTGGAACACCACTTCAAAGTCAGAATCATTGCCATAATAGGGATCTTCAATAATGAGTTGTTTCTGTGGATCATAGCTTCCAAGTAACTCAGTTTTAGCTTTGCAGTTTTTAACTTGATTACTTCTTTTATTTAAATCTCTCAGATTGCTTTCATCCATACATAGTATATAATCGAATGTGGCAAATTCTTCTCTTGTAATCTGTCTTGCCTTATGGGCTGTGCTAATGCCATGATTTCTTAGGCAGCTGACAGCTCTTGGGTTTGGGGGCTGGCCCATGTTCCAGTCGGAAACAGCGCTGCTGTCAATGGCCCAATTATCTGAAACATTTTCATCAGTTACTAATTTTCTGAAAACTGCTTCTGCAATGGGTGACCGGCAAATGTTACCGAGACACATGAACAACACTGACTTGGACCCAACCTCTGCCATCTTTCGGTACCAGAGACCGCGTTAAGGACTCTGCACATGCGTACCGCAAGTGTTCTGCTTCCAGTAATGACATTTCCATGATATTTTTAGAATATGCATTTAATATTTTCAAATGTTATTGTCAATCAAACTTGATAATTATTTTTAATATATGCCATCTAATTTAATATATCCATTCTCCTCATATATAAAATAATACAATATACCACATAACAAGATTATTATCCCTTAGGCTCATTTAAACATCAATTGGCTGTTACCTTTAGTGTGATTATTACCATGCCAATTTAGTAAAAAAGGTATCAGACTCCTTTTACTGTTACAACCTTCCTAATTCTTCAACATCCTTTAAGTGATGTCTGAGCACTGAGACCTTTTCTCCCTATGAAATGTGTTCATCTATCTCAACACAGTCTCCCAGTACTTGTGTTTCCATAAGCAATTATATCTCCACTGAAATAGAAACAACAAACATGCCCTTTTGCTCAGATTTGCATTTGTCAATTGTGAGTTTAGAGCTAAAAAATTCCTTTAGAGCACCAAAGTGTGTTGAAGCAATTCAGATACCTCTAATGAATAATACTCATTACAGATTATGAAATTGTCATTAATTTGAATTTCTATTATTCCCCCTAAGAGGTGGAGGATCAAAGTGAGCCAGTAGAGATGCAAACCCTCCTGTCACAAAACTGAGAAATAATACCATGACGCATTTATCAGAATCACAGTGTGCAGTGCACTGTTGCTAACAGTTGCCAAACATATTCTGTAAAGTCCACAAGAGATGCAATTGAAATGAAAGTTGGGATAAGAGTAAGGGAATAAGCAAAGCACAGGAAACAGTTGTAGGTGGAAAAAGACGTCCCAGGCACATTGGATAGCAGCATATTTATAACTCACAGAGTGATATTTCAAAACATGCATGTACTATATCTTGACAATTCTGATTAGTCAACATTTTGCTTTGTTATGTTAGAGACTAAGAATTCCTCCTAAATATAAAGCATATACTATGTTGATGTAAAATCACACAGTTCAAATTTACTACAAGACACTTATGTTAATATCTGAGTGCATAAAAATGTTAATAGTTAATATTTCATATTGTTCAAATCCAGATGCCACTGTCCATATTCAAGCTTAGTTGGACGAGAGCTATACTCCTTTCACATCCATTCTTATGGCTGCTTTTGCATTATAGCAATGGGGTGCAGTAGTGTCAACAAATACCTTGTGAGTCAAAGTCTGGAAACATCTACTATTAATTCCTTATAAGTCACTTAACAAGGACCTACTCATAGTATAAGTTCCAAATTCTAGAGTCTAATGACAACGACTTTCCATGAAACCTATCAAGAAACATTTACACCAGTGTTTCTCAACCTGTGGGTCATGACCATCAGAAAACCCATATTTCCAATGGTTTTAGGACCCCAATCAGAAATTTATGTTCCTTGATACTTCATAACTGTAATTAGGCTACTGAATGGTATCTCAGTTCCTAAAATCATTGGAAATATGGGTTTTCTCAAGGTCACAGCTTGAGAAACCACTGGTATACAGTTGCATTAATAGGAACCAGAAAACATCTAATTTAAAGTTGTGAACATTAAAGACCCAAAACTACGGTTCCTGTTCACAAGCAAGGGTCAGGAGTGGCCAGCTTTCTGCAGCATGAATTGGTAGATACTTACTTTTTTTTTCTTTTTTTAAATTTTATTTTACAATATAATTTAATTCTACATATCAACCATGGATTCCCTTGTTCTCCCCCCTCCCTCCCCATTCCCATCTCCTCCAGGGCAAAGACTCCCCCGAGGATTGAGATCAACCAGATACTTACTTTTGTTGAGCACACATTTTCAGTGGGAAGAGTTGAAATGTCTCTGATTAGTCATGGTGCAGATAGCTGCTCAGCAAATCTATGGACTTAATGCCACCATCAAACACACTTAATGAAGAGTCAGTGGGTAATATTTCACAGGGGCAAGTTCAAAACACTTTTACAATTGTAAGTTGATTTCAAATGTGTTCTACTACTCCTTCACTTTGTAATTGGTTTGCATTTAAAAGGTTTCCACATGCTTTCCTATCCTACCCTTTGAGCCAGCCTCCTGCAAACTCTTGCTTTCTTCATACTCCTGTATTTTCTCTTTTTAAGCTTTTACACCTCAAATATTCTACCTATACACTTTCATTTTTAGCTATACTATAATGCCCCCATTTCCTTAACCTGGTTTCCATTTCACTAGGTGCTTTTTTAGTTACTTTGTTTCCAAGTGGGCTCCAGTATCTACGACTCTTTTAGCTGATCTTGGGACTTTTCTCCTAATGAGTTGCCTTGTCCAGCCTCAATAGGAGAGCTGTTGCTTTGTCTTGTTGTATCTTGTTTTGCTATGCTTGGTTGTTGTCTCCTGGAGGCCTGCACTTTTCTTAAGAGAAACAGAGGGGGAATAGATCTAAGGGAGAGGAATCGTGTGTGTTGGGGGGAGGGTTTGGAGGAGTGGAGGGATGGAAACTGTGGTTTGTATTGAAAGACCCCCGACTGGAGTCTTCCCTCCGGAGAGACCCTCGCCCAGAGATTACACCGAGACCACAAGTCAGATGCAAACAGCAAGAGGCTTTATTCAGGAACACGGGTACCCGGGGCGATACAGTCCCTCCAGAGGCTGAAGAGACTGGCGCGCCCACGGGCTGGAGTGGAGGGTTTTTATAGGGTTGGGCAGCGGAAGGGCGGGTACAGAAGCAGGAAGCATAGTTTACAGGGTTCTGATTGGACGATTCGTATGAGGCCAGGTTCAAACTCAGGACAGCTCGTGGTTTTTCCCCGAGCTCGACACGCCTGCTGACTTGGCTCTCATCCAGGGTACAAGTTGTTTTTCTGACCTCTAGTTACTTTTCAGGCCCTGCTCAAAAATGGCGTTAAGCTAAGCAAGTATGCTGGGGCCCTTCATTCCCCCATTTTCTTATCTCAGGGAATGGAATCCTCCATTCATGGGGAAGAATAGGGATGTGGCTCCATTTCCACCTGGTTGAGTCGTTGGTATTGTTGTGTCAATACCAAGGTCTGAATAGTAGAAACGCGTTCCCTGATAAATTGGACAAGTCTGTTTAGGATACAGGGCCCGAGCGTCAGAAGGAGCAATAAAATCAGAAGGGGTCCCATAAGGGTGGAGATGAGGGTGGTGAGCCAGGGGGACCTTCTGAACCATCCTTCAAACCATCCCTGCTGTTCTTTAAAGAGTTTTTGTCTTTGTTCTAATCTTTTTCTTAATCTAGCCATGCTATCTCTCACCACCCCAGTATGATCCGCATAGAAGCAACATTCTTCTTTAAGGGCGGCACATAACCCCCCCCTCCTGCAGGAAGAGGAGGTCTAATCCCCTCCGGTTCTGCAGAACTACTTCAGACAGGGAGGTGAGTGACTTTTCCAAGGCACTCACGGATTCCTCCAGTGCCTGGATATCGGTATGCATGGCAACCTGGAGTTGTCTGAACTGGTTGGTTTCCATGAGGGCAGTGGTACCTGTGCCTATTCCGGCAGCGACTCCTCCCATAGTTAACCCACCTAGTATCAGGGCCAGGGTTAGCGAGACTGGCTCCCTTTTTATACGGGGGACCCCTGTCTCATATCGGGCATAGATATCTTCAGGTGCACGGTAGACTATCTTGGGGTACAGTTCTATGAGCACACAATAATCGGCCGTGTTGGCTAGTATTGAGGAGGAGAGGCATGGTGTAAGTCCAGTGCTACAGGCCCAATAAGTCCCGTTGGGAGCCACGAGATAGTGGGGTCCTGGAACAAGTGCCTGGGTGCGATTACACAGGTGTTGGTGGGTGTAGGGTACTATCCCCAGACATAGTCCTTGTCCTGACACCTCGGAGATTGTGAGCTTATGCTGAGGTGTCGAGGCACATCCTGACGGGGGTGAAGAAGAATTGGTGAAGCTTCCGACTACGGCCACCCCCTCATAATAGGGGGGTGTGGAGACTAGGCATAACCAGCATTCCTGAGTCTGATTTGGGTTGGTAACATTGAGGGCTGAGTAAGCGCCCTCTATAAGATTCAATAGCCGGTCTCCCGTACCGGGCCTGGGTGGCTGGAGGGTGACTGGGGTTATAGTGGCATTCGGAGCCGTGCTTGGGCGAATGGCCGAATTGGGTCGGGGGGTAGCCCTCGGGGGTGCCGGAGCGGGTAAAGAGGGGCGCTTTTGGTCAGAGAGAACCTGGTTGGGACCTATAGAGGCGGAGGGCTCTGTGATTTTAAGCCTAATCGTAAACACGACTCCCTGGTCCCATCCCGTCATGTAAAGTCTAAGTCCCCATGTTCTACCTTTAATCCAGTCTTGTGTTATCTCCCTTCCCTTTTGAGTAAAAGATATATTCAGGGGGTTGCAGGTGAAATTTACACAGGGGCCCCCCCCCTTTCCAGTAAGTGTTATCTCTTCCTGACGTGACAGTTCCCCAACAACGTCCTTGAGTAAGAGGACGCCATGAGTGGCTTTCTCTTTGGGTAGCCCTTTTTACCCTAATGAGGTCCCAAGTGGATGAAGGCTCCCAATAGGTATTACCAGTTGTTTCACATCCCCATGCTTTACAGAAGTAACTTTCATAACCCCCACATTGTCTAATCATCTTTCTGTCCCTACCATCCCGGGGACAGACGTAAAAGGATAGTTGTGACAGGGCTGCTCTGGTTTCAGGGTGACCATATCCATATCTCCCGTCACTACATTTGCAAGTTCCCTTACCATCCTGACAGACGTCTGGTGCTCTGGGGTTCATGGGGTCAGTGGTAGGGATGTCCCAGTCCCCTGACCCTGCTACTAGTTGGCAGAGATCTGGATGCAAGTTGGGCCACCATGTGAAGGGGGTGTGAAGGGCGGTCGTTTGCCAGACCATCTCCCCAGTTTGTGAGATAACCTGCCAAGTGAGCCTCTTAACTAGGTGCGGGCTCTCTGCCGCCCTAGTCCCCTGGGGGTAGGCAGAGATTAAGAGGAG